CAGACCTCGCCCTCGCCGGTCCTGGCGGCCCCGGAGTCGGGCTGCGACAGCCGCATGGAGCAGCAACAGGAGAGCTGGAGCTGCTGGAGCAACAGTGGCGTTGTGGGAGGTTACCAGCGCGGCGCTTACAGCCAACACGTCACCAACACTGCTTACAGAGAGGAGAGGGCGGTCTACCAGCAGCAGCAGCTCAGCAGCGCCCCTAGCTGTGAACCGACAGACGACAGCCAAACGCAGCACGACTTTAACACACAAACTGCCTCAAGTGGTTGTAACGGACCAACCAGCTGTGTGAACAATAGAGCACATCTGGTGAGTAATTCATTCATCTCTCCCGCTCTTTAAAATTCATATGATCTTCGTTTCGACCTCCCTGACTGACCCTTCATGTTTCTCCAGGTCTGTCCGATGAACACGTCACCGTACGTGGACCCCCACAAGCCAAGCCAGGAGGTCTGGGAGGAGTTCTCCATGAGCTTCACCCCCGCCGTGCGGGAGGTGGTCGACTTCGCCAAGAGGATCCCGGGCTTCCGCGACCTCCCCGAGCACGACCAAGTCAGCCTGCTGAAAGCTGGAACTTTTGAGGTAAGAGAAGCAAAAACACACATAAACACTCGATGTTGTTTTGAGCTCGCTTTGAAGTCGAGCCGGCGGGTTCTTCAAACATTCTCAATACAGGATCCACTGTGGCCTTCAGCCGCTTGCTCTGACTAATATTTGCTCTGATAACAGTTGGAAGGGGAATGAAAGAGACTTCACAAACTCTCTATAGGTGTGATTGTAGTTATGTAACACTGCGTTCTCCTGGGGAGAGCTGAGACACACGTGGTATTCTCTGTACGCAGGCCTGAGCCCTTGAGACTTTTACAAATTGGACAATTCTGCATTTGAGTTTGCTTTTTAAAAATCTAGATGGATAAAACACAAATATTACACATATTTCTAAAACTATTTTAAGTCTCTCATCATAAAACCAGATGATGTTTATAAATAAACTAATAAAAAAAACTGGACTCCCAGGTGCTGATGGTCCGATTCGCCTCTCTGTTCAACGTGGTCGAGCGGACGGTGACCTTTCTGAGCGGCAAACGCTACAGCCTCGACACGCTACGGTTGCTGGGCGCCGGCGAGCTGCTCAACTCCATGTGTGAGTTCAGCGAGAAACTGGCGGCGCTGCGGCTCGACGCCGATGAAATGAGCCTCTTCACCGCCGTAGTGCTCGTCTCAGCCGGTAAGAAGGCGCCAGAATGCGTTGTTATAAGGCTGAAGATGAACGTTAACCGCAAACACATGGGAAAGCCTCGTTCTGACCTCCATCATTAACCGTTTCCTCCCTTTTTTTATTTGTCCTCGCTCAGATCGCTCAGGGATCCAGGACCTAAACTCAATCGAGGCCCTGCAGGACAAACTGATCCGGGCGCTGCGAAACCTGGTGATGCAGAACCACGGCGAGGAGTCGGCCACCACCTTCACCAAGCTGCTGCTCAAGCTTCCCGAGCTGCGTTCACTCAACAACATGCACTCAGAGGAACTGCTCTCCTTCAAAGTTCACCCTTGAAAGCTTCCTAAAAGAGGGTGGGAGGGTTACATCCGTGCCCGCCACCTTATCCACACACCTCCACCAGGACCTGCCTCTTACTGTCCCCTCGCCCCCCTCCGTATTCGACCAACCCAAGTTGTGTGTTTTTGTTTCTAGAATGTATTAAAAGTTATTTTTTATTCTATTTTTGTTAAGTCGACCACGTGGAGGTCTTGAAGAGAGAAGAGTTATAAAACTGTACTGTATTTATAGCGGAGATAGTGAACGCTTGTTGCACACAAACACACGCAAGTGCTCGTGTGTCAGAGGTTTCTTAGGTTGTTTTTGTTTTGTTTTTTGCAAAAGTTGGAGGCACTTTTCTATTCTGAGAGACAGAAGATTACTTAAACTGGCTTCATGAAATGATAGAGTTTAAAAAAAGATAAAAACCAACCAATTTGTCAATCCAAAAGCCATTTAATTCCAAAGTGTATTCTCTGCTGAGCGGGTGAATGTGAGAGATATTGTATACCTTACATACAGCATGTTTGTTTGGTCTATTGTTGTGACTGATACGTGTCAGCAAGCAAAGGCAAGCTATCAGTAAATGTATTGAGGAATGTGTGACGGTCGCTGCTAATGCATGGCTATACTTAATGCGAACAATTATTACTTGGATCTTCTCCCCTTGCCTCAGAAAAGCATCAGTTCATCGTTTTCAGTATATGTCTATGTATGTAT